AACTTTTCAACGGTTTATCACCACTTTTGATTTGGCTGATGTTTTCAGCTTAGTTCGGCATGTCAACCCGAACGAGTTGAGAAGTCGGCGAAGCACTGATGATGATTACCGAGAGGAAGATAGCGGTGATCCAAATGCCTGTAAAGATGATGCATATATTGTTGATAAAATTTTAGATGGCTATGACCGAAATAAGCTTCCAGGGGGTACAAGTGTGCAAGTTTTCGTTGAGGTTAGCTTGTTATTGCAAAGCTACTCTTTATGGATTTTAATTACTCACTTGTGTTACCGTACTGATTTACAATAAGTTTGGGTTACTGAAAGCTACGTATAGAGGAAACGACAAATTTTTTGGAGTACTATGAACTGAATTCTGAAAATGACGCATGCAGTGATTGCAGATTTGGGTTCAAGAGGTAACAAAAATCATTGAAATAACGAGTGAGTTTGAATTGGATATTTATGTTACTGAACTTTGGCGTGATCCTTCGCTTGCATACGATCACCATAATCCGTGTAAAAAGTAAACTACTTTTTTGCCTATTCTATTGACAAACAATAATACTTTTTTATTATTTGACAAAAAGAATTTTTCACCAAAACATATTCCTGCGATTTTATGTTGCAAAAATTAATGATTTTGAGAAACATTTATCGTGAGCATTGGCATTGTTACGAAGCCAATTAGATTAGAAAATAAAAGCTATTACTGATAATCAATTGAAAACTTTAAAAAAACTGTTGCTTTATAATGATAAATAGAAAAATTAAGTGATCAGATTAATTTTTTAGTTTTTTTCTTATAACAAAGTAATTTAAATCGTTTACTATCTTGTCCAAAGCATTATTTTTCATGTATATGCAACCTAAGGTTTTGATTAATTTTAGAAATATGTCTGTAGATGGTTTTAAATTGTTACCGCAAATATGGAATCCTCAAGCGTGTTTTGTAAACAGTAAAGATGCTTCAATACATCGTAGTCCATTTACAAACATCTTTTTGATGATCTATAGCAATGGTACCGTGTGGCATAATTATCGGTAAGAAATCAACAGCAATACAAATTTGTTTTTGCAAACAAAAGATAACCGTAAAATTTTTAAGCATTAAATTGACGGGTCCCTGTTCGAATGCCTTACGAACATTTCCCATAGACCAACAAAAGTGTATGCTGTTCTATGAATCTTTCAATCATAATTATGCTCAGGTACGCTAATGCAAACGCTTTTTCTCAATCTGTTTTCTTTTCTTTTTCCAGTATTTTAACTTTTTTATTATGTCAATCTACCCGAAATATGGTCTATGTAGCCAACTAAACTTATCTGTATAATCGGTAGGTTGCCATGGAATGGACGAATACCGCACCACCTATTACCATACTAAAGCAAAACATCACCTTACCTGACTATGTGCTTGTTGATTTCAAAGCTACAAGTGTTTCAAGGGTTTCTTTTGATCTGTCAACCATTTTGAGTAACAGCCAGCTTGGATAAACCTTTTTACCTTTTATTGTTTTAAAAAAAAAGATAAAAAAGTGGTAAAACAGCAGAAAAAATTATTTCTTTTTTGTTTGTAGCTTCTTGCTGTATAAGCTGTATGCGTGAATTTTCAAAAGAATTTGTCTTCATTAAACACTGTATGGCAAATCAAAATTTTTTTTATTGCAGTTGTATCCGCCAGGAATATGGAACGAATTAGTGGCAACTTTCACTTTTCAGCGTCTTTATGGTTTTTATATACTCCAGGTTATCCAATTTACTTTATTTAGTATGTTATGTTTATTCTTAAAATTTTTTCTATACCATTGTTGAATCAACTACAGTTATCAGTCGATTAGGGTCAAAAATAAGCCAACATTAGATATTCAATTGGTCAAGAACAATTTATTTTAGGTTTACTTGCCAGCTTATATATCGGTCTTTATGTCATGGGTTAGTTTTATATATGATGCTTATATTTTTAGGTTGATAAAGTAAATATTTCAGTAATTGTAATGTTTTCGGGTTATTTTGAAGAAGCTTGAAGAAAGAAGGGAGCAGAACTTTCGCATTAAATTTCCAAAACAGTGCTTTTAGAATGAATTTTGATATAATCTTCTACTGTTCTTTTCAATTAGCAAATATGTTCTGCTGTTGCTTTTGAAATGTAAACTTCTTAGTTGTATTATATATAAAGCAATAATGTTTGATTTTTTTTTCATGGTCATGAGACGGACTTTTTAGCTTAAATTGTAATTGCAGGTTTCTTTTTACCTCGGACCAACAAGTATTCCTTCTCGGACAACTGTTGGGGTCAATTCACTTCTTGCCTTAACGTTAGTTTTTTCTGCTTTTAGATACTTTATTCAAACATGTTAAATGATTTTTTGCTTAGCACTTAATTATAAATAAGAAGTAAAAACAGTTTTATACATTACTAAACTATGCAGGGTTTTTTTTTTGCAACATTATGTATTGGACTGCTATTTTGTCCTGCCTATCGAGGCATTCAAAAAGCTTAAATTCAATTCTTAAGTTTTTTTAACGAGGAAATCACTATAGTGAAGATAACAGATTGTTTGAATTTCTGCTTGAATAACTTTGCACTTTAACCAATTATATTCAGTTATCAGTTCGGCTCGGTGGTGAGTAATCTGCCAAAAACAAGTGATGTTAAAGGTGCACCTTATATATCGATTTTGTTTTTTTAGCTTGTATAAATTACTATTAATTTTCGAAAATATTCAATTTGAAAAATTATTGACGATATATGAAAAGTTGAACAAATCTGATCAATTTTTTAGCGATAGATGTATGGATTTTGAGTTCAATGGCATTCATCTTTGCATCGTTAATTGAACTTGCTATTGTCGGTTACATGACCAGAAATGCTGCTCATATTGCTTTTGAGTAAGATTTTATGATTTTTTGGCGAGAAAAACTAAAGTTGAAAATTTGAGAATTAACGTGAAATTAGAAATTTCTCATTTTTTTTTATTTTTTGTAGATGTCGGTGTTCAATCTTTTGTCTTAAGTGTCCTATTTGGACGGCTCGTCGGCTGGATAAGGTTAGTTACAACAGTTCAGTCTTGCTTAATTAGATTTTACAGTAGATTCACTCTACGAGCAGCTTATTGAAATTCAATAATATGTTTAAATTATTTTACAGGCTTCATCAATAATTTTTCCATCATGTTTTTTTGTCTTCAACATCTGGTATTGGTTCTTCTTCCTCGGGTAACTTTTTTTGAAATTGTTGAATAAATTAATTTAAGCATGCTAGTTTTTCAGACTAGGTAGTTGTCATCAATTTCTTTGCGTTTACTGTTTCTTTCTGGTGAACTGACGAACAATTAAAATTATATATACTAGCTGATGATGCTAAGTTTAGATGTGTGACCCCTTGTTGAAAGGTTATTTGCATGGCATGATATCGGCGATGCTTATGATAATCAAGAGAAAAAAGATGGCTTTTTAATGAGAATTTTGTATGCATAGAAAATACTTATGAGTCTTTTAACAGGTACATTTTTAAAATACAATATTTGAAAAAAATAAATGTGAAAGAAAGAATAAAATTTAAAAAAAAATAACCTGGAACTATTAGATCAGTAGGAAGAAGCCAATGGTGATGCTGACGACGACGATATTAATGAATAAGTTCTATTTAATAGGCCATAAATAGAAATGAAGAAGTGACTAAGCCTAAGTGTCATGTAAAATGTTGTTGCTTATTTGAATAAACTATCAGCTTTTTGGACGACAACTATTATGCATGTTCTCTGGATATGTCTAGTCCAAAAAAAAAAAAAAAAAGAAGAACCTCCAGGAAATAAGAAGCTGTTTTATGAGCCTAACAGACGGAACAGACAAAAGATCATTGAACATTCATCGGAAGTAGTTCTTGGTTAAACAGTTGAGGGATTAGGAAAAAGAAAAAATTGTGAAAACACACGCGTTATGATATATTTTCTATTTAACTCATTTTCGTTCTTTATGCGAAAATGAATTTCCTTTTCAGTTATTTTTTCTTTTTTTATCTTTTTTAGTTTCCGCTTTAAACTTCTCTTTTCCAGTCAAAAAATGTTCGAGTAGTAAGATCGGTTGGATTTGTATTGTCGTAACAATGGGACCGATACTAGTGACGGGAGAAAAAAAACACAAAAAAAAGACGAGTAAAAAAATGCTAACAAAACTTTTGATTGACAAGTTAAAAAGTTTAGGTTTAAAAGGTCAGAAAGAAACATTTTTTTTTTTGAAACATTTGAAGTAGTTTAGAAGTGCACATATAAAAGTAGATAAATGAATCATATTAGACGGGTACAGTGAGCTGATAAACTGCTTGTTGTAAATTGACATTTGCATATCAAAACAGCTAACTTGGAAGTATCCTATCATTCATTTTTTGTGTACCTTTTCATCAATCAGAATTATATCTAAACTATTTGTGCGTATTTGTTAAATAGTATTCGTATATTCATGAAACAAATTTGTAAAGAAAGTTTTAAAAAAAAAGACGGGTTATCATTTTTGTCAAGTTTTAGTTCTTTGATTTCAATATTTTTCAATCTTTCTGTTCTTTCTTGTTTTTTTCTTTTCTTTTTTCTTACCTGCATTTTAATTTTTTTGCAAGTCAATTTTTCCTCTTGGCCACTTTATGATTACTCGAGAAAGAAATACAACAATTTTTAATCCACATTCTGACGGTACAAAATGCTATGGACTTTAACTAGTTATTCAACGATTTATGAATACTAATGACAGTGTGAATAGTAATGCAGCCAGTGAAAAGCTCAAATTTACCGACCTTTAAAGACATTTTCTTTGTTTTTAGAGTTGTTTAACAAGTGCTTTTTGCTTAGCGTTTAGTTCAAATTTTAGGAGCTGCTTATAATTGACAAAAAAAAAGAATAAAGAAAAAGAAGACAAAATAACGAAAACGAAAGAAAGAAAACCAAAAAATTATATTTATATCTAATGGGTAAGAGGCGGAGGAGGGAAAAAAGTGGGATACGAAGGAAAGAGCTGATGGTTACTTGCAAATATTGTGAAAGGGAAGGAGAATATATGTATATCTTTTCAACTATTTTTCCTAAGTGATAACAAAATCAAAGGAAGAAAAAAGGAGGAAAAAACAACACAACAGGAGTAATTTGAATATTTATTTAAAAATTTATTTATGGTAATTGTTGGAGGTTATTTTTGAAAGCTGATTTGAAGCACTCCAACTGAAATGCGAAGATTCATTGTTGTCGTTGATGTTATTATTGCCATCACGTTGTCGTTGTCGTTGTCGTCGTCACATCAAATTTAATGCATTTGATTAAGAGAGGAAAGAATTCTTTTTTTTTTTTTTTT